TCATAAGTTGTATTTTTAAGCCATTCACCACCCTGGGCTCCTGCGGAAGGATGAGAGAGATCGACAGATTTCCCCCTACATATATCCCCCTCACCCATCTGTTTTTCATTGATTTCCATCTCTTCCACCAGTCTGCAAAATCAGAACTGAGCCTGTCTGTTCCTTCCCTAGAGTGGTGGGACGTTTGCCGGGGACAATTAGCCGACGCAGGAGGGAGTATGCAAGCACTCCTCCTCAAATCCTTCCCTGCCAATGTCCTCTCCCCAATATTCTCTTATTCTTTTTTAGGATTTAATTGAGGATGGGACATAATAATAATAATAATAATAATAATAATAATAATAATAATAATAATATATTTATTTATACCCCGCTCATCTGGCTGAGTTTCCCCAGCCACTCTGGGTGGCTTCCAATCAAGTGTTAAAAACAATACAGCATTAAATATTAAAAACTTCCCTAAAGAGGGCTGCCTTCAGATGTCTTTTAAAGAGAAGATAGCTGCTTATTTCCTTCACATCTGAAGGGAGGGCGTTCCACAGGGCGGGCGCCACCACCAAGAAGGCCCTCTGTCTGGTTCCCTGTAACCTCACTTCTTGCAATGAGGGAACCGCCAGAAGGCCTTCGGTTCAACCTCAATCTGTTAGCTGCCATCCACATCCACATACATGGCTGTATATACATGGCTTCTGGCTTCCTAAGTTCTTATGACACTCGTTTGCCTAGATAATGTCTAGCTTGGCTCTAGTTCTAGAATTCTAGGGGAAACTGGATTGACTGCTGGTCTCCATCATGTCCCAGGAGGATGGAGATACAAAGATTGCTGTTTAATGTGGTCTAGGCTCTGCATGCTGATGACCCGCCGGAGTGTGCATTACCCAAGCCCTGAGTGGGCCAGGGATCCACTCTGGGAACTGTACTCACCATATGAAAATGCCGTTTTATTCACGGCAGACACCTGGAAATTAGACACCAGACTTATTTGCCAATATGGACACTTTAACAGTTATGACGTTTATGGGAGCCTGGGTTAATGATTTTTTGTCTCAGAAAGATGTCACCTAGCTGTCTTGTTACACAGGATGATAAGATTTAGAAGGCAAGGGTTTTAAACAGAGGTGTACTAACACACCCTGGAAAAACAGCACTGGGGGATATATCTTTGATTTTGCCTTGAGTCAGTTGACTGTATATCTCTGCAACAGTGGGCATGTTTGCTTTTAGAAGCTGCCAGCTTTAGGACATAGAATTAGAATGTCTTATTTCAGTACAGATGGGACGCAGGTGGTGCTGTGGGTTAAACCACAGGGCCTAGGACTTGCTGATCAGAAGGTTGGTGGTTCAAATCCCCACGACGGGGTGAGCTCCCGTTGCTCAGTCACGACTGGACCTAATGGTCAGGGGTCCCTTTACCCTTTACCTATTTCAGTACAGAAGAGGGTGCCTGAACTCTTCGGGGGAAATCTCATTGCATGCAGCTTCTCCCTTCATTCCTCTATTACTACGGAAAAAGCACACCAGCAAAAATTCCTTCTTCTTTTTTTAATTCTCCCATTAAAGGGACAGGATATCAGTGCTGTAATCCTGTGTAAAGGGACTAGGAAGTAAATCCTATTGATGTCAGGTTCAAGCTGCAAAATTGCCAACCCTGCATAGAAACCCTGCCCTTTCCTCTTTAGATGATCAAAGTTCGGTCAGCACTCTAATTTTAAAAGCATCCATTGAAATATTTGAACTTGCCTGGACTGTCAACAATCCTGAGCTCAGGTCAAGTGTGCTAAAGTCCCACTAATAGAAGTCAATGAGACTTTTGCTTGTGAAACTGAATTCTGTTTGACTTCCTTCTGCGTCTGATCCCAGTGAGTCCTTAACACTCAGAAATCTGAATTTAAAGGCACGCAGCCTGCACTGGCAGCTTTTTGAGAATGGAATGGGTGCCATCGTTTGAGCCCCCTAGTTTGAGCACACAACTCACCTCAGCCGTCTAGGGTAACAGAATCGTAGAATCATAGGGAAGGGACCCAGGGGTCATCTAGTCCAACCCCTGCAATGCAGGAATCTCACCCTTGAACTGGGAAGAGCATAAAGCATTTTATTAATTTTTCTGAATTAGAAACAGTTGCAACACTGGTTAATGCCTAGCTATAGACCGATGATTAAATGTTCTGTACAAGACTTTTTGGACTGGAAAAGTACAGTCCAAAAAGGTCAAAAGGAAAAGTTTCTCTCTGTGTTGATTTCATTTCACAATAACTAGAATAAGAAGTTCAAGAGGGAGATTCGTAATTACAAAAGAGGGAATGTGTAGCGTCTGGGGAGGTCTCAAGTGGCTTCCCAAATAAAGGGGGGAGATGATGGTATGAATTCTGGAGTTATTAAATTGAAGGTGATTTTTTTGTTTTTAGTTTTTAGTTTTCAGGAATTTGAATTTTTTCCCCCTTCCTATTTCTACAGTTCTTTCAGCTGCTGTGTGGACAGATGAAATAATGCAGGTTTGGGATAGGCTGAGAGAAGCTGGTCAAGTGAGCTTTGTGTGGGCATTTTCACATCCAATTCGGTGAGGCATGGAAGGCTTGAAATAATTTGCTGTCTGTACTGGAGGCATCCCACAAAGCACAGCAGCGGTGAGTGTAGCAGGGCCAGGAGCTATGGAAATTTGTGTGTGGCTGCCACATATAGTGAATTACAGGTGGAAGCCTTCTTAGCTTCCAGACTGAGTTCATCTACCCAACCATTGGATCTTTCCGGGTAGGAAGTAGAAGAACGGGTTTTGTTTTGCAGCTTACTCTTGCTTGAGCAACAAGGTCTTTCTGAGCACACTGGTATGTTCCTGTATTTCCTCTGTGGTCCTGACTTCCGCCTTGCTCTGACAGGTCCAGCTCAATTCATTTTCCTGCCTGAGACAAAGGACGAAATGGCTCCTCCTGGTGCCAATTCCACGCACCAAAGCTGACTGGACTAGCAAATGAATCTTAATTCAGTACTGGACAGAGGATGGTGCTCTCCAGCAGTGTACCTGAGCACAGCTTGCTAGTTTAGGGATATTATGACACACAAAGCAGAGGCCAATGGCCTGGGAACTCAGGAGGAAATGGATTGTGGGGCTGTCCCATTGCTTCCCAACATCTGCTCCACTCTGCCTAATGGTAGGCCCTGACCTCTTTGGTTCCTTACTTCTGCATCCTGATGTGTCCCTCAGTCCTGTCTTCATGACGAATAACCTTTCACGTGACTCTTAATTCTCAGTTTCTGACTCATCTCAAACTGCTGCTTGTTGCCCAGCCTGTTCTATTTAGAATTGGTTTTTTCCTCAAATTTGGGTCCCCCGGCGGTTGTTGGACTACAACTCCCATCACCCCTAGCTAGCAGGACCAGTGGTCAGGGATGATGGGAGTTGTAGTCTGACAACAGCTGGGGGCCCAAGTTTGAGAAACACTGATTTAGAACAATGGCCTTTGGTGATGCTTTGATAGTACCATGGACAGTTCTCTGCAAGATTTAGGCTGAAGCCTCTATAAGACCAGAGCTGAGATGTTGCTTCAGCAGCAATCAGCCTCCGACTGCACCTTAAGCAAGAACAGCAGCTTTATCTCAGGTGCTATCTCTACCTTTGATGAGCGGAGCCTCATCATTCTGAAGGACCAAGCCTTCCTTTAGCAGTTGGAGTCCCCCGAGTCAGAAGAGGAGACTGTGATGTCCTCAGGCCTGAGACGTACTTGCGCCACAAGCTTATCTTGCACAAGATCTAGGGCTGAGGGCAATTCTATGACAAGATTCAATTCAATTCCTATGAAATACTGCTCTTCACAACCTACTGTTCATGCATATATGGCAGGGATGAGGATCATCGGGTCTTGGAACCAAATATGGCTACTCTACCTGATCCTTAGAAATCTCTCCAGACCAAACACCTCTGCCCAAAGAAAAATGTCCTTTTCTGCCTAATTTTGCCTCTAACCCTGCCCAGCACTAACACGTTACCTCTGGGAGGTTGTTCAGAAAGGAATGTGTCCCTCAGCCTAGAAATGCTTTCCTACCCCTGACATAAAAGGAGAAGCCAGATCGTTCCCCAGGCCACTGATCTTTAATGAAATAGCCTCCGCTTCTCATTTTAATAATCCGGTTTTCTAAAAGTCTTGAGGGAATAGGCATCAGTCAGAGAAAGGTGGCGGTGGAATGAAATAAAACTTACAGCCTTTAAAAATAGGCGCACACAAAATATTTTGCCACCTGCCGCGCCAGCAATTAGTATACATCTCGAAGACAGCAGCCATGTGGCAACCTGCTTCAGGTGGAGCACGCTGCTCGTGGATGCTCTGCCATGGAGCGGCGCTTTTGACGGGATTCCTAGGGAACACGATGAAATATTCATCAGCTCATATTTGTAAATGGCCTGGCAACATACTGAGTAAATGACCTCCGATGAAACATCCGCATTAAAATGGAATAGAAACCAGACGAAGCGAGGGAGCTACAAACAACCCGTGTGTTTTGTCGGCGCTGAAAAGCAGCAAACACAAAAACAGAAGGATTTGCCGGTGTGGAGCCACTGTCTTTCACTGAGCTGCAAACAAGGAGGACACCTGTTTACCTGAGAGAGGCTCATCGGCGGGGCTGCCAGCGCTAGATTGCTCCTCAAGCATCTCCAGGAACGCATGTGCCTAGAAAATAGCTGCGGCAAGGAGAGGGTCTTGTTTTATTCTCTGCACTAAACACACACACCTCCAGGCTGCTTCACCATTGTGCAGGCCGCCAAAGCCCATTCGGCGGCTACTTATTGGCACCTGAAAGGAAGTCTGTGTGATGGACGAGCCAGAGTTGCACCTCCTCTCTTTCCTCCCTCCCTTTGGCACCTCTGTTGAAACTGAAATTGTGAGCTCTATAAGACAAGGATATAGACAACTTAGGAAGCGGCCTTATACTGTGGATCTGTCTAGTTCAGTATTGGTGACACCGATTGGCTTTCAGGGTTTCAGACCAAGATCCCCTCTGGTCCTACACAGAGATGCCAGGAATCAAAGCTGTGGCCTTCTGCATGCAAAACAGATTCTCTGCCACTGAGCTATAGCCCTTCCGAAGACAACAAAGTGTTTTCATCACATCACGCTGAAAAGTGCCTTGTTTGTGTCAAGTATGTTATTATAATAGTAATGAAAAGATGCAAGAGGCCCTATAAGATACAGGCTGTCTTTGCCTTACATGGGAAGAAGATACACAGCTAGGCATTCAGTTCTTTGCGTGGCGAGTTCCCGCCTCCCCCCTCGGAAAATAAAGACACAGGACACCAGTATTTTAGGTTAATGGGCAAAATAGGCCACAACCCTATTGATTACAGGAATTGAACAGTATTGGCTTAGGCATTGGTACTATTGACTATCCGGCTTCAGCCTGATTGCTTGAAGACCGGCAAGGGTTAACCACCAGTAGGGGGAGTCCTGCTGATGCACATCAACTAGCAGCTCCCCCGGGGTCACCGCTCGGGGGCGTGCCTTAGGCCCACACCTCCATAGGCTTAGGACAGGGCCACGCCCCCCAGAATCCGTTACCGGACTACCCTTCAATTTGGGGGGAGGTGATGGCACTTCCTCCCCCCCTTTCATCTGCATAACAATATCCCTACCAATGCCTAACCGCCAATGCCGAGGAAGTTGTGACGATTTGCTACGAGGTAGGTGAAAAACCAAATGGCTGGTGCCAATTTGCCAAGTGGAAAAAAATCCTACCAGGCCCCTTGACGGTGACCAACCAAAGTCCATAGCAATGTCAGAGAGCCAAACCTAACAGGTGGGCGGGGTGGGAAAACCTGATCAGCTGGAGTGCGGAAAGAGGGAAATCCTCGGTCACGCCGGCCCTAAATAGGCCAGGCCACGCCTCCTGGGCCAGCCAATTGGCTGGCCGGGGAGATGACGCGACCGAGGATTCCCCAGTCTTGCGGGGGCTGTGAGTTAGCCCCCGCGCATGTGGGGAGGGCGTGAAGCCCACAACCCCACCTCCTCTCCAGCTCGGAAGTGGCTTTCTAAAACAGGTCTGCAGTTCTGCAAGATCAGTTCTATAGCTTGCAATCTTTCCTATTTGGAAAGCCAGCTCTTTGAAGGACTGCTTCCTCCGGGACCCTCCCCACCCAAAAAGAACTATTACAGATACTCCTGGAATATCACATTTCCAAACACGAACCTGTCCCAGGATGCAGGTTGTGTAAGTAGGAACTTCCACATTTCCTTGGTTTTGTCTTTTGGGGCTGAGAAAATAGGTGGGTTTTCTCTCTCCCCTTTCAAGTCATCATCACTATGCAGGCGGTGAAATTTTCAAGGAGGTTTCCAGTTCTGCAGTGCATCACTGCTGACGGTTAGGTACCCGTATAGGAATGTTCCACTCTCGAGGCTGTGCAGTGTGTACAAGACCATTTCAGAAACCTGCCAAAAAAGAAAGATGTTGGTATTCTGAGATAAGCAGAGGCATCTGAGTCCAGCTGGTTTCCCCTCTTTCATTCCTTACGTGTAGGCCTGAAATAAAAGTTTAAAATTAATTGCTCTGGTACTTGCAGCAGGGTGAGATACTGTCACTAAACCAAACTGGAGACTGGCAGACACACACACGCACACACGAGAGAGAGAGAGAGAGAGAGAGAGAGAGAGAGAGAGAGAGATGTATGTATGTATGTTAAATGTTTCACATTGAGAAGATTTGTCTTTAGGTCAATACTATATTGTAGAATGAAGAGGTGGCTTGCAGAAATTAGAATGTAAACAGCACCATCTGGTGGCTAATGGAAGGGGGAACTGTCTGGAGCAAACACATTTCCACAATAATTGGTTTTGAACACTCCATAGTGCCCTGCAGATGTTTTAGACTACAACTCCCATCATCCCTGGGCATTGGAAACGCTGGCTAGAGCTGGTGGGAGTCGTCATCTAGAACACCCAGAGGGTGTTGGCTATTCCCACTAACACAATGGGGACTTTGACCCCCTCCTCCCCACTGTGGTGCCCCATCTCCCCCATCCTACTAGTCTCTTAAGACTCACCCACCACCCATGCTGACTCCAATCTGCACCGTGGCCCTTTTAAGACCAGGCTCCTGTTTCTCTGCCTTCAGCTCTCAGTGGTACCCTGGTGATTGACATCATCAGAGTATGCCACCAAGCTCAGAGCTGACCGTCATGCTGCAAGGGGCAGAGAGGCAGGATCTGTGTGGCTTGTTTCCGAAGCACCTACACTGGAGAGTTCAGTCCAGGGGTCAGCAAACTTTTGAGCAGGGGGCCGGTCCACTGTCCCTCAGACCTTGTGGGGGGCCGGACTATATTTGGGGTGGGGGAAATGAACGAATTCCTATGCCCCACAAATAACCCAGAGATGCATTTTAAATAAAAGGACACATTCTACACATGTAAAAACACACTGATTCCCAGACCATCCGCGGGCCGGATTTAGAAGGCGATTGGGCCAGATTTGGCCCCTGAGCCTTAGTTTGCCTACCCATGGTCCAGTCCACCACGCTGATGGCAGGTGAGCCTCAGGCCCCATATGGCTTCCATGATCTGCTGCTGCGTTCACTCACTCTCTCACTCAATGCTGGGGCCGTGCTGTGAGGGGTGGAGGGAAGACAAAGCCTTGAAATCAGGACGCCCCGATTTCAAGTCAGAAGCTGTGGTGGCTTTACCAATTACGAGACTGTGCTAGGAAAATCAGGACAGTTGGGAAGTATACCCCTCCCCAATCTCCAACCAGGCAGCCAAACGGCATTATCTCAGTTCAACACCACACCTCACCCAGGCAAAAGTACTTGAGGAGAGAGTGGAGAAGGATGTGCTATGGGGCTCTCCTTAGTGTGTAGCCTCCTCAGAGTCCCAGACCCCTGGCCCAGAGCCCTGGAGGGCTACATTTGGCCACAAAGGCCTGTGGTTCCCATCCTTAATTTAGATGGGAAAGAAGGGTAAACAACAATTGTATCTAGAGGATTTTAAAAATATGTGGGTCCCAAAATGCAGATTCGGGGAGGCCCTGGATCTGGAAAGGGTTAAAGAGTAACACATGCCTCTTTTCAGACAAGAATGTGCTAACATTACCAGCGAAAGCTTCCAGTGCGGATGTCTTTGAAAAACAAAGAACAAAAAAGACGGAAGACACGATTTGCATTTGTACCATCATAGCGGCAAGTGCTGCTGTCAGCTTGAGCAGATCTGTGACAAACCGTACAACTGGAAGGTCAGCCGATCGCACGAGCCTCCGCCTCTGGGGCAACGGGGTTCCTGTGTTCCATTATAAGTGGCGACCCAAAGCAGGCACAGGTCACCGTTAAAAGCCGCCAAAAATGGATGCTGAAATTCTCTGTTTCCTCTAGGCATAGTTGACTAAGCCAGGCTGCATTGCAAACCAGGTTCCCTACCATAATGATCTGGGTATCTCCTGCCTCTTGTGAGCAGGATCTTCCTACACAGCATAATCCTGCACATTTACCTCAGATTTTCCGTACAATTAGTGCGTTGAATTTTGAAGTGGCATTGGTCAATTTAAAAATTTTTAAAAATCATTTTGCTACTTGGGTGAGATTTCACTCATGCACAAGGAAGCTTTGTCTCAGTACCAATTTTAAATGTAGATCTATTTCAATTATTTTGTCCTTGCTAGTGCGTGTGGTTTTTCTTCCCAAACTGCTAATTGTGGCAGCCTACTGTCTAACAGCAGCACAGGCCTACTCAGAGGTGAATCCCATTGATTTCCATGGGGATTACAAGCCAAATATATGAATTCACGCATGGCGGTAAGAGGTCAGAATGTGTAAAATTGACTTTGCAAGCTAACATCCAAATTGGACTCGCACGTAATTCTCAGCTGGAACTTTTTGTCAATATTAAATACAGCACATTCGCCGCCAGTGCCAGACACTCCTTCTCCATCACATTCCCTTGGATAATTGTTCTTGCTTTAACCAGACATTGCTATTGGTTTGCTTGATCAATTGTTTGATCAAACTAGACAGATCTATGGCCCTGCTATCCCTTTCCTGGGCCAACTTACGTGATCTGCACTGCAGCTCAGTTCTAGATGGGCTGTCTCTGAGCCTGCCCACTTCGAATAGGAAGTAAAACAACACAAAGAGTGCAAACCTTGACTTGTGCTTACATGTGCCGCTCTGTATATAAAATGAACTCCCAATTGTGACTTTGCAAGCACTGATCCGCGCTGACAGTGAGCCCCACTGAGATCGGCTGCACTTACGAGTTCCCCATTGAGCACCGTGGGATCAGGGCTGTCAGTGAACCTCACTTTGCCCACTTGCGTTCAAAATACACCTGCAAACAGATTTCAAAGTGGCTCACCATAACTGCTGACCCTCAGCAGGTCCCTTTGATCTTTGAATGGTGCCATGGATCCCCTGGGTGGGTTACCACCAATTGGGAACCACTAGTCTAATATCAGGGACGTGGGTGGCGCTGTGGGTTAAACCACAGAGCCTAGGACTTGCCGATCAGAAGGTCGGTGGTTGGAATCCCTGCGACGGGGTGAGCTCCTGTTGCTCGGTCCCTGCTCCTGCCAACCTAGCCGTTCGAAAGCACGTCAAAGTGCAAGTAGATAAATAGGTACCACTCTGGCGGGAAGGTAAATGGCATTTCCGTGCGCTGCTCTGGTTCGCCAGAAGCGGCTTAGTCATGCTGGCCACATGACCTGGAAGCTGTACGCTGGCACCCTTGGCCAATAAAGCGAGATGAATGCCGCAACCCCAGAGTCGGCCATGACTGGACCTAATGGTCAGGGGTCCCTTTACCTTTACCTTAAGTCTAATATCAAGTCATCACAAAATAGAATGCTATGGAAACAGTATGTTAAGGGGGAAGGACAAGGTGGGCAGCATGAGAGAGATGTCTCAAATGATTCATGGTTTACCATAAGTGGATGGGGAAGAAATTATTCTCCTTCTCTCATAATGCTAGAACTCATTGCCATCCAATGCAGCTCACTGTTTCAGGACATACAAAAGTAAAACCCCGGCTCCTTCAGGCCTCTTATAATAGTCAGCATGACCTTGACAGAAGAGATAACAGAACCAGTTTAATCCAGCTGTACTCAGCTTC